CATTTTTATGTTTTTGTGTTTTTGCAGATCTTATTGCTAAAAAGGAATAAGAATAAAGTTTTAAAGGGTTTCAAAGCACAAGTCATATCAGGCCTACATTTCAAGTGATCATCAAAGAGAAATAACATGAAGAGGAGATGGATGTAACCGGAGCTAAAGATGGAAGTCTGTGTCAGAGCAGCATGCCTGGCGTCCAGACACAAGAACTGGCGTCCAAACACCATCTTCCAGAAGCTCGCGTCTGGAAGCCCATTTTGGCCTCTAGACGCCAAACCATCAGGGCCTCGTGTCCGGACGCGAGACCACAGACCCCCATTTTCTTTAAGTCCGATTTTGCCTATCCTAAGATGTAATTTCGAATTTTAAATAAGAGATTTTGTATTTTGAATTGACAGGAGGATAAAGAGGGGGAAAAGGCTGAAGGAGTCTATCTCATTTTTGTTTTGGAAAAGATACAGAGAGAGAGAGAGAGAATGATTTTTAGGGTTTTTGGAAGAGGCTCGCAAAGATGGTGGAAGAAGGAATTATATTCTCTTCTTCAATCCTGGAGGGTGTAGCCATATTCATAAGAGGCTAAATCCCTTTTCTAGGGAGTTGATGTAACCTAGACCAAGTAAACATAGTTTGATTTGTATTTCAATTTGGGAATTTTTACTGTATATATTAGTTTCATAAATTAGAAGTATTTACATTGGCTTGATGTTCTTTACATTAAATCAATGTATGTGTTTATCATATGAACATATATATGTGTTGATTTGTTATCTTGTCTTAGAAATCATATTGATACAAGTATTACACTTGATTTCCTATAGTGACGATGGGAAATAATTTATAGAATGGTTATATTAGCATGAAATTAAGCATTTATATAGGTTATACCTAAGAAAGATGGACCATACTACACCCTTAGATTAATATAGTTAGGTAGATGGTTCATACCAACTGAAGATAATCTATGATATTTAATTGATTTCATGTGTTGCAACATACTATTGAAGGACCTTAATAGGCCATGCCTAGGGAAGATGGTTCATACCATAATCTAGTTTAGGTGGATGAACCATGCTAACCAAAGATAGGTTATGCTTAGTCATGAATGTATGATCTTCCTGACGATATTGTGGTAGTTTTATGCTCTTACACATCATTATATATATATAAGTGTTAATCCCCAAGTTGAGTGCAAGTTCTACATGTTTATGAGGTTGAGGTGAAGTCAATTCCCTAGCCTTTTTCTTTATAAGTTCAATCCATCCTTTTTACATTATTTACTGTTTTTTGAAAGTTAAATTCGCAGGTTAAGTGACAAACCAATTAATTTATCATTTCTTTTATTAAATAGAGGAAGTAGTTTTATGATTCTGTTTGCCATAAACTAGCAATCCTTATGATTCGACAACCCCCTACTCTAGTATTAATCTGCAATGATGAATGTGCTATTGTTATAAGTGGTATTTTTAAGTGGTACACATTTATGCGCATCAACTTTTTGGCACCGTTGCTGGGGATTACATACGGTTTTGTAATCAGAATTTAAAAATTGCTTCATTATTTAATTGTATATATCTTTTCATGTTTTTGATGTTTGTGTTTGTAGGGACTAAAGACTTTCTAGAAGATTTAATTACAAAATTTGAAATCTTAAGGGCTTTGGGTAAGTTTTTGAAGTTCCTAGTTATATTTTGTCGAGCCCTTGTCGAGGCTATTGCAAATTTATTATGTTATTCAGAGCATAGGTCCATGTCGTGGCCAATTTAATTTGTTTTAATTATTGTTGAATTGAGGAGAAAGGGATCAATATATGTGGATATATTAGTGAAGGGTTGTTGTGATTGTTGTGTTTGATGGTTGATAGTAAGTCGTAGATCATTGTCTTTACCACATCTTGAGGAACCAATTAATATCACTTTACTTAAAAGAACTCTTAGGCAGCAAAGAAGGAACCTTAGGGATCTTGAAATTTTAAGAGAACTTGAAATTGAAGTAGATAAAATGGCTAATGAACATGATAATCTCAGAAATCATAATGCTGAAAATGAAAATTTAGCACCAATGACTCTTAGGGGCCATTTTGTACCCTCTACATACATATCTCTATCATGCATTGTCATGCCTAATGTTGAGGCTCATCATTATGAGATCAAATCTACCACAATTCAAATGCTTCCAACATATCATAGGTTTGATAATGAGGATCCTTATAAACATCTTAATGAGTTTTTAGAAATCTGCTCCACCATTAAGATGAGGGATTTTCCCTAAGATACACTTCATATGTTTCTCTTCCCATTCTCTTTGAAAGATAGAGCAAAATATTGGTTAAACTCTCTTGTTTCTAATTCCATCACTTCATGGGTCCAATTGCAACAAGAATTTCTTAAAAAGTATTATCCTGTGAGTAAAACCAATCAAATGTGTCGTTCCATTCTTAGTTTTTTCCAAATTGATAGGGAAATATTCTATGAGACGTGGGAGAGACTTCAAGATTTTCTGAGGAAGTGTTCGCACCACCAAATTCCAAAATGGCAATTGGTGCAAGCCTTCTATGATGGTTTGATAGAACCACATAGGCAATTAATTGATTCTTCATGTGGGGGCATGTTTATGTCCAAAAATCCAGATGATGCATGGACTCTATTTGAGAACATAAGCGAAAATTCTATACAACATGGTTCTCGTAAAGTTTCTACATCTAATGTGGCTAAACCCTCAAATCCGTGTCAATCACGGACTCTTAGGGAAGAATCTTCTCAAGTGGATGCCATAGCTCACAAAGTTTTTCAGCTTGTGGCACCACATCTCTCATCTTCTCAAAATTCTTCGTCCAGTGCTATGTGTGCATATTGCACAAGTACTTTTCATAATGCAGAAGATTGCCCCACACCGGAGCAATTTTCTGAAGGTATGCCAGAACAGGTAAATGCCATATTCTCTCGCCCTGGAAATAATCCTTATTCCAATACATACAATCTAAGTTGGAGAGATCATCCAAATTTCTCGTAGAGGCAACAAGCCCCGCAAAATTCATCATTTCAAAGTTATGGGCAATCAAATCAATCTAATTCTCAGTCCATGAACCGGCCATTTCAAGCTTCTTCAAGCTATCATCCTCCTTCCTACAATGCAAATTTTTCCAATCAGGATCATGTTCCTCTACAACGGTCTCAATTGGATGAGCTAGTAATTTCCAATAAGCAGATAATGGCTATTCTTAGTGGTTTGCAATCAATTGTGCAATTTGTTAATACTCACTCTCAATCAATAGCCAATATTGAAACCCAACCGGGACAAATGGCTAATTCAATAAATCAGCTTCACAAGAAAGACACAGGAAAACTTCCAGCTCAACCTGTGGTGAACCCGAAAGGGCAATATATGATTGATGAGATCACTCCTCCGAGTGGATCAAATCTTAAGCAAGTTCAAGTAATCACCACAATTCAGAGTGGAAGAGTTGTGGACAACAAGGTTGATGAAAAAGCTGAAATTCTTGCTCCCAAGGATTCAACTTCTTCAACCAAAAATCTGAAAGATAGTCCAGAAATTCCAAATCCGCCAATCCAAAATATTGAGACATCTTATAAGCCTAAGACCCCTTTTCCTCAACGCCTCATAGAGTCCACACATTTTGGGAAAAAGGGCGATAAAATTCAGGATATGTTTAAAGTCTTTAAGCAAGTAAAGATCAACATTTCTCTCCTTAACGCCATTAAGCAAATTCCACCTTATGCAAAATTTCTTAAAGATTTGTGTACTTAAAAATGCATTTCTAAGAGCAATATTCCAAAGAAGGTAAGGTTAATTGAGCAAGCAAGTGCTATCATTTAGCATAATACACCTCTAAAGTTTAAGGATCTGGGTGCCCCGACAATCTCGTGTGTCATTGGAGACAATGAGATAGAAAAAGCCCTCCTTAACTTAGGATCGAGTGTAAATCTGTTCCTCACTGTGGAGGGAAAAAACCCCACCAGTTACAACACACCACGTGGTGGCAAAAAAAGCCCACAACCAAATTAAGATAACTAGAAGCCCACAATCAGTTGGAGGCCCAACAGAAGAAGCCTTACGCACGTACCAGTTCAGCCCAATTAAAGTGAAGGAAGTTTTACTTAATATAAAGGCTAAATGGGCTGCCCAGTCTTAACAAGGCCCGAATTACATAACGTTTGCCATAATGATGAATGCACAATCAGTAGGTGTAATTACCCATATTTGGGAATAAAAGCCAAGAATGGCTCCATGTAAATCTCTGAGGAAAAACTTATAAATGAAGACTGAATGAGAATGAAGAGGCATCGAATTCCCAATACTACTACTCTCTCAAAGATTTATTTGTTCTCTTCTTCATTGTTCTATGTGTTCTCCATAATTTATCTCTTCAGGTGTTCGGGTGCAAGAAATTGCACCTACACTTTGACACCGTCTGTGGGAATTTCGATACAAGAAGTCCGTTCTCTACCTCTTGCGTGTGACATCACTCTAGAATGGCAACAAAACCAGACGTTGTTCAACCACAGCAACAGGAGACCATGCAGAAAATACGTGAGGAAATGCAAGTGTAACTTGACATCTTTCAACAAGCAAATAAAGCCAGCGCTGAGCAAATCAATATGCTAAGGTAGGCTCAGGAAGCCAGCGTGGTTCAAATCAGCACTATGCGCAGGGAAAACTAAAGACTTCAAGGCAACGCTCGACGAGACGATCAGTCGATCGGCCCTCGGCCTGAGCGTCAGAACGAAGATCCCCCTATGGAGCCAAGCACTGATAATCTACCTCACTAGCAGAAGGTTCCACGCCAACAGCTCAATGGAACGTTGGAGGTCATCAATGATGCCACAAGTCAATCCTGCACCCTAGGGAACTCCAATAATAGGGGACCTCGAGCCACCAAAGCCCATCCATCAGATGACGCGAACTCGGGTAGAAAAGAAGTGTGGACCCCAGCAGCTGATTAACCGTCTTCAAGGAATGACTTTATCACCAGGCTCCGGAAGGAAATGGACGAGCGAATCAAAGGGCTGAAAGCCCAAACGCCTGAAGACATAGCAAGAGAATTCACTGTGTCAATAGTGAAGACCCCTTTCACAGATGAGATAGAACAGGTCGCAAGACCCAAGAAATTCACAATGCTAAAGTTCATCAAATTCAATAGGACTAGAGATCCCCTCCAACACTTGAACCACTATACTCAGGAAATGACACTAGAGGCGCACAACGATCTATTCATGTGCAAAATATTTCCATCCAGTCTGACGGGAGTGGCACCAGAATGGTTCAAGAATTGCCCGTGCAAGTCAATCCCAAACTTCGAGTCACTGTGCGTTGCGTTCTTAGCCAGTACTGTGGAAATAAGAAGCAGGAAAAAAAAAAAAACCATTGCCAGTCTCTTTACGATTCGACAAATGAAGGGAGAAGGCCTGCAAACCTTCCTCACCCGATTCAACATGGAGTCTTCGGGCATTCCAGATTGTAATCAAAACACAGCCATAGAAGCATTTAAGATAGCTATGGTGCAAGGCTCACATTTCCACTCTTTTTTGGTGAAGAAGACCCCAACTAACATGTCAGAGTTGAATTCGCGGGCACAAAACTACATCAGACTCAAAGAAAACAAAGTAACTAGACAGCAGAGAGTGACCCTGGTTACAGTGGAAAACCGACCGAAGGAACGATCGAACACCTCGAGGGTCTATCGGGAACCCCCGGCCATTGAGGGACGAGCCCCTAAGAAGAACTCCCGAATGGTTGAAAGAATCATACCTCTCAAAGTAACGCTGGCCAGACTAAACCAAGAGACCAAGGCAAGAAACATCTTCCAGATCCCACCACCAATCAGACAGCCAATGGAACAGAGAGACCAAAGTAAGCACTGTGCATTCCACAGTAATTTTGGCCACTGAACCAATGATTGCAGGAGCTTGAGAAGACAAGTGGAGGCGTTAATAACCAAGGGTGAATTGACTGATTACCTGATTACCCCAGGACAACAAAGGCAGCAAGATCGAACCCGGGTAATTCCAAAGGCCACGGTAGAAAACCATCATATCCGAGTAATCAACACAATTCATGGTTGTCCGGAGGAGGACGAGCAATCCGGAAATTCCTACAAGATCCAACTCAAACAAGCCCATAAGCTGCGGAAGATTGGTGAAATCAATGTAGTTGACTACAAACCCAATCCAGCACAAGTTTCTTTTCATAAAGGAGATCTTAGAAGGGTACAACACCCGCACGAAAACCCATTAGTAGTTAGCCTACTAATGGTCAATTGCCTGGTCAGACGAGTACTGATTGATGCTGGCAGTAGTGCCAATATCATAACAAAGTGGACGTTCGATCAGTTAAAATTGGCCACAAATAAGATTCGCCCCACTAGAAGCCCTTTGGTAGGATTCGATGGAAGAATAGTGGAGCCTATAGGTGTAATCACACTGTCAGTCACTGCTGCTAAAAGATTTCTGAAAGAGAACTTCGTGATTATGGATATTCATCCTACGTACAATTTGCTAATGGGCCGAGGATGGATCCACCGCATGGAAGGAGTCCCATCAACCCTGTACCAAGTCATGAGATACGTGAGCCCGAACGATCAGGAGGTCATCGATATCTGGGGGGACCAAGTAACAGCAAAGAAGTACTACCACATGACGATTTATCCCTCTGATAAGGGCAACCAGAAGAAGAACATCTTACCGAGGAACCCTAAAAGCCATGCAGATAGTCACAGGGGACGAGTAAAAGTTAAATTACATAAGGACTCTCCAGTCAATTCAGGAAAAGGAGGAGCTGACAGAAATCCTGAGGCGGAATGCTGACATCTTCGCTTGGAATCCCTGGGACATGCCGGGAATTGACCTACAGACAGCCTGTTATAGCTTAAACGTGGACCCTAGCCACCATCCGGTGAAACAAAAGTAGAGAAGGTTTGCCCCCGAAAGAAATATAATCATTGCTGAGGAAGTCAATTGACTTTTAGAAGCAGGATTCATCAGAGAAGTCCAGTACCCTCAATGGTTGTCAAACGTGGTGGTTGTCTAGAAAAAGAATGGCAAATGGAGAGTATGCATTGATTTCACCAACCTGAACAAAGGATGCCCAAAAGATAGCTTCCCACTCCCCAAGATCGATCAGATGGTAGACGCTACGACCAGGTATGAAAAACTAACTTTCCTTTATGCTTACTCAGGTTACAACCAGATCCCGATGAACCCTCCGGATGAAAAGAAGACTACTTTCATCACCAAACGTGGGACCTACTGTTACAAAGTAATGCCCTTCGGATTAAAAAATGCAGGGGCAAAAGTGTTGTTCATACCTTTTTCGTAAATCAAAGTTTATCAAACTTGAACAACCTTCCAATTTCACAACTGATCTCAATCATAATACGGTAACTTGAGAATTATAACTCGATCAGACTTATTTTAACATCGAAATTTGCCAATTACAAAAATTATATCTCACATATATAAGTAATCCATTTTAAGAATTCTTCAATATCTAGATATGAAATAATAACCTATTTGTGGAAAAAGAAAAGTTTTAGTTTTACCTAAGAGTTCAAATTAAATATGAAAAAACTAACAATGTAATCATCAAAAAGATGATACAATTTTCTACGGACAGAAAGGACTTGAATGTCAATATACTTGAGATTGTATCTTCTATTATGGTATTGTGGTCATTTAAGTAGTTGCATGAAGAAAATTAAGAAATTTAATCAAGAAACAAAAAGAGAAAAAATAGACCTGACAAAGTGCATGGGTAAAAAATCCTTTTGCTCAGTGCTTCGTTACATCCAATGTTAGTCATGGAGGAAAAAAAATTGAGAAGTTGAATTCTTTGAACATTCATTCCAAACTCAATCTGTGAAAAATTGCAAGCTCACATTTATCTTGACTTTTTTTTTTTTTTTTTTTTGCAATATTTTAAAACAAAAAACAAAACAAAAAAAAAAAAACAGCACAATAAACATCACTTATTATAATGAATCAGGCCAACATTTCTTTAGTTAGAAGAAGGATCAAAGAGTAAAGACATTTCAACACAAGTTTTAAAAAGTAACCATATACTAACTTTATTCCTGATCAAAATATATTTTGTTGCACTTATTTAGCTCAGTAATGATACAATTTGCTACATCTGTTTCTGATCTTACACAATTAGTAATGATACAATTTCTGATCTTACACAATTAGTAATGATACAATTTCTGATCTTACACAATTAACTAACTTAAAACTTGCCAAGCACTTGCTACATTCGGATGAACAGATACCCATGTCCAGTATCCCCTCCAGTGTTTGGTTTGATTCCAAACAAATCATCAGCATCAGGATCTGTTCTATCACTCTCCCTCTCTAAATCACGTTAAAGAAGATGACTACTTATTGTAATTGGGACTTGAGTGCAATTGTGAGGGAATCCGCATGCATAAATCCCAAAAGGAGTACTGCAAAATCCAAAGAAAACAAAAATACACATCCAAAAGGAATTCTGTTAATGAATTTTATAGCTACTTAAAACAATAAGAAATAGATAAGTAATAGCAGCTTTTTTACTTGAAAATAAACTGAACATTCAAAAAAAAAAAAAGAAAAACAGTGCATGAGTAGTCTCAAGGGCAGTCGGTTAATCTACCACAATTCAAAAACTATATAGATGCCGACTAAATACAGTTAAACACATAGCAACCAAAAGCTAAGGTGATGGGAAAGTCTTTAATAGAGAAAAAATAATAATTAATTAATTAATAATAAGTTGAGAATGTATTGAAACATACCGACCACTTTTCCGGCTTTACTTATTCCAAAGTCTTTTCTTCCTCTCAACAAGTATACCTATTATCAGAGAATTAAAGATGAAGAAATGGACAATTAATAATTAAAATCACTTACTTAAATCATGATCAACCAAAAATGATGAAAATACCATTTCACAAAAACACAAAGGGATGTCCTCCGGAACGGCAAAGACCCGAATCCCCATTGTTAGCAACGATAAAATCAAGCGCTCACAATTGGATATAATTGGCCATGGCCATTCTTTCTGGATAATATAAGGTGTTTTCCTTTCGAGATGGAGATACGAAACGTGTCATGAATCTGCGCTTAGAAACTGCATGTCTGACGCGTGATAAACGGGTGGATACCGGCGCATGCAGGTTTGACGCGTAGTAAACAGATGAACATTACCATAGTTATTTTCGCAGATAATGTTAACTTCATGCTAATCGACGGTCGCCCCTTTTTTCAGTTGGTGCATACTTAATAATTGTAATTAGGGAGACTGTACTAATTTCTTTTTGTTTTGACATTAACCCACATTTCCTTGAGAAAACAAAATACACATATTCGTGGGACACGACCACGCGAAAGAGTTGGCCAGGAAACCCATAGTTGATCTCAGTCTATCTAGAAGACACGGTTCTATTTAGGCCTAGGGATTTGAGGCCCAATTTCTGCTTAAATCCAAACCCGTCACGGGTTACTTTTAAATTTTAATTGTCAACTAGCCCATGGGTCTATCCAAAAAGTTACGAGGTCCAGGACCAATGCATAAACACCATCCTTATTATAGGGCTTCAGAATTCCCCTGATTTCGGGCCTTGGGACTCCATTTGTGCTGATATTTGGGCCTACCCTAGGTTTGTATTTTGACTTGGTTAGGGCTTGGTTGATTCATGTCAATGATTGCCTTAATTAGATGTAATTTTTAATGATCTCTTGTTTAATTACATGTATAACTATATATAACCAATACAAACTACTGGTCATTATATTGATTATTAATAGGGCTATTATCACAAAAACCTCATCCCTTTCAAATTTTGATCATAAATTCTAAGCTATTTTAGAAAAACCCCTCATATTATAGAAAGTGATCACATTGCTCTCAATATTCGTATATGACCCATTAACCGGGTTGTAAAATGACAAATCTGACCTTACTATTATTAAATGTTAAATTAAAACTATAATTATTATTTTAAAATTACAAAAATATCCCTATCTTCTTCCTACTCTTCATCTAGGGGTGGCCACGGATCGGATCGGATTAGGCATCATTCCTAATCTGATCCGCTCATAACGGATTGAAGAATGTTGAATCCGCCACCAATCCGTTAGTCCACGGATCAGATCCGTGAAATGACGGATCGGATCGGATCCAATCCGCGGACTAAATTTTCTAAATTAGTCTATTTTTAATTTTTTAGCAATTTCATATCTAATTATAGAAGTGTAAAATAGAACATAGATTAACCCAATTTAAATGCATAATAACAAGAATAATCAAACTGTAAAATATTGCATAACCAAGAGGACAGTAGTTATCCAAATTATCCAAAAAAATAGTAGGACTATGCCAATATTATATAACAGTAACAGTGAAGTGAAATAAAAAAAGAGATAGCAGATCCATATGCCAAATATTACATAACCAAAGGTCCAACAGTAGCAGTGAACCAAATAGGCAAATATTACATAACCAAAGGTCCAAAAGTAGTAGTGAAGTGAAAAAAAAAATAAAAAAAAGGAAGTAGCAGACTAGCAGTGCAGTTAAAAAAAAGGGATAGCATAATAATCTCCATGAATCTCCTCAAACCGGGTAATCCGATCCGATCCGTACGGATCGGATCGGGTTCGCGGATTGACGAATTTTTTGCGTACAGATCAGATCGGATCGAATCGGGTTCGTGGATTAGCGGATTTTTTGCCCACCCCTATCTTCATCCCCCTCTCTATCTCTAATACTTTTAGCTTTCTCTCTCAACGAAAACTAAAACCACACCCAAACCCAAAATCACAATCAACCCATCACCACCACTCTGGCACGGATTTTGTTTCTTCAAGCAAACTCATTCACTTTGAGAATTTAAAGCAAGCTCACTGACTTTGTTCTTGATAGCTGCACATATTTTACAACAACAATCAAATTTTCTACTCTGAAAAAAAAATTAAACAATAAAAAAAATTATTCTATTACATATAATATGTGCAACAGAGATTCAATTTTCTACTATGAGAAAAAAAAAATTAAATTTTCTCGTCATATAGAAATATATGCACAGGTCCATGGAGGAAGCACATATACATGCAAGCTGAGTGGACTTGGTAAATGAATTTGTTTGCCCAAAATAAATAAATAAAATTAAAAGACACGTGTCTTACATTCTAAATGGCATCTTTAGATTTACACGCTCCCGTATCTTATACTCCGTAGGAAGTTTTGAGATTGAAACATCTTTAGAAGAAAAAAAATTAAGATTTGATTTTAGAAATGGAATACAAATTTATTGGAAAATATTAAAGCTAAAAAAATAAAGAGAAAGAAGAAGGTAAGAAGTAAAAGAAAAGGAGAATTAGAGAGATTTTTTTGAAAAAGATAAATCTTTTCTAAGGGCATATTTGATAATCGCTTCTATTTCCAATTTTTTTTGTTTCGGAGTACAGTGTACTATAGTGAAGCAAAAATACGGATAGTATTTAATAACGTTTGTTACAATTTTAATAGTACCAAAGCGTTTTCAAAAAAGATGTCAAAATCGGAAGCACCATAGTTGTTTCGTCATTGTAGCAAAATCACTATAGTAATGAAGAGTCCAAAAAAAAAAAAAATCTAAAATGAGCTTTTTAAATAACCATCTTATCTGGTAACAAATATACATTACCAAATATACTTTAGAATAATATTGAACACAGAAACATTACTTTTATTTCGTATCAAAGTAAAAGTACGAAGTAAATGTGATTCTCAAACAAACTCTAAATTTTCTTTTCAATTCTGCAGGCAAATTAATTAATTAATTAACCTGTTATGTCCAATTTTCTTCCCATCAACTTGAAATTTTCTTGAACAGAGTCAAACTTTTGTTGGGCATCTAATACCTTTTTATTTTGTATCAAAGTAAAAGTACGAAAAATCACTATAGTAATGAAGAGTCCAAAAAACAAAAACAAAAACAAA